CCCCAAATATTTATATAAAAAAAACAAAAAATACATATTCCTTAATTAGCTTTCCTTTTGAAGTTTTAATAGATTTCACTTAGATTAGATCAAAACTGATTTTTGTAGCAAAAAATTGGTCACTTTAGGGGTAGTTGGCCCCCTAATTTTCACTCCCCCTCCAACATACCTAGGCCGATTTTCGTCTTCTGTCAAAACATACTTTCATACCAAAAATCATTAAGATTGCTTCACTGATCTCAAAGATATCGCAATTTTTCCATTTTACCCCCTATTTTGGGAGGGTCGTTTCATACCCTAAATATGTTTTTCCGCCGCTAAAAAAAAATACGTGTCCCTTACTTTTTCATGTATTATAACATATCCAAATTTCAGAAAAATCGGAGAGTGACACTTCCGTAGGTTTACTTGTTAGACGTGGCGATGTTATCGTTGACAGGATCATTTCACTTTTAGCCGAGCTCAACAAAGGTAATTTATATTGACTGTTTTAATTATTTATTATATTGTTTTAATTATTTATTATATTTTAATCTTACCTATTTTTATTTTATTTTATGGTTTTTTTATAGTTATGACGGCTACTTCCTAGTATTAATTTGAACTTCTTAATATTAGTCGGGTAACAGTCTTGTCAGCTATAATACTGCAAATAACATTCATGTCATTTTATTAAGGTCTTTAATTAATTCTTTTATTTGTAATGCGTTTGCTTTGTAAACCTTGAGTTTTTATATCACTGAAGAGGATTTATGATTGAGCCGATTTGATTTATATTGAGTATTCATGTTCAATAAATATTACTCTATTTCCTAACACAAGGAAGGTTTTACCCATATGGTACATAGCACTATTAATCCTGTGCTTGAACTCGAATTAGCCCTTTTTCCTATAATCGATATCATTGTTATTGAGTTCCTATTTTCTTTTTCTTAATAAGTTTTTATTATCTTGCACGCCAGTTTGAAAAAAGTCGTTTCGAGGAAAACGCGTTTAAAGCTTCAGGTATTTCAGAAAAATTGTAAACTTACAGCTGTTTTCTGCTAATCCGTTATTCCTGGCCCATAAAGTAAACTTTCCATTTCTTCGAACAAGTTCATTCTGCTCAATTTGTTGTACATTGTTTACTAGCTGCCTGAGCTTCTTTACTGCTATTTAGGCTGCGGCGCTCCTGTCTCATTATTTGCTCGGCGGTAGTATCAGTATACGTAGCGGCCCAATTTTAATTTCTAATATTTCCATGATCTTCAAAGCAGCGTAGCATAAAAAGCATTAAATATTCCAGCGGCAATATAGGCGGCGATTTCGATGATTTTAAAGCCAAAATGTACATGCTTTGGAGCTAACTGTTAAATATTAGGTGGTGAACTTAGTTCCTGCGGTTTTTTTGTTTAAAAAACTCATTTATTTTGACATTAAAAGCAAAAAATACATTAATCGAAGTTTTTTCCCTCGCTAGCTATACATTTTTCCCATTTTTCGGGCAACGCGTAGATTCCGCGACGATAGAACGATTGGTCTTTTGATGCAATCCATTCGTCGATCCATTTTCGCACGTCCTCGTAATTTCTGAAGTGTGTATCCACCAAGCCGTGCTGCATCGACCGGAACAAGTAATAGTCCGAAGGAGCTAAGTCTGGTGAATACGCTGGCTGCGGGAGAACTTCCCATTCGAGCTGCATCAGTGTTTCTTTGACGGCTTTGGCAACGTGTGGTCGAGCGTTGTCGTGCAAAAGCATGACTTTACGTCGATTGCTGGCTACTGCTGGCCTTTTTTCCAACAATGCTTCATTCAGACGGTTTAATTGTGATTGATATCGATCCCCCGTGATACTTTCGTTCGGTCTGAGTAGCTCATAATAAACGACGCCGTGCATATCCCACCAAATGCAAAGCATTGCTTTGTGGCCATGAATATTTCTCTTTGGTGTGGATGTCGATGGTTGGCCAGGGTCTACCCATGATTTTCTTCGTTTAGGATTATCGAAGTATATCCATTTTTCATCGCCAGTCACTATGCGCCACAAAAAACTCTTCTTTTTCTGCCTGGCGAGCAGAGAAATAGAGATGTTTAAGCGATTCGCAATGGCATTTGCGGTTAATTCGTGTGGTACCCATTTTCCCTCCTTTTGAATTTTTCCCATTGCATGTAGACGTTTGGAAACAGCCATCGGAGTAACATTTAATGCTGCAGACAATTCTTGGAGCGTTTGAGTAGTTTTCGTCCAATAATGCCTGCAAATCGGTGTCTTCAAACTTTTTCGGTTGGCCTGAGCGTTCTTTATCATTGACATCAAAATCACCACTCTTAAATCGTTGAAACCATACTTGGCATGTTCTTTCCGATGGAGAATAATTGCCATAAGCTTCGAAAAGCAATTTATGAGCTGCAGTTGCAGTTTTTTTCAAGTCAAAGTAATGAAGCAGCATATGTCGAAAAAACAACTTATCACGTTCCATATTTAATCAAAAGAAAAAATAGCACTGCTCGCTTAAATGAATCTCTTCGCACTGAATTTTATTAACAAATGTCTAACCTCTAAAATGCAGCCAGTTTCAGATGTCAAAATAAATTACACCTACAACTAACGTCTAACTGTGAGCCGCAGGAACTAAGTTTACCACCTAATAACTATTAAAACTTTCACTCACATTGTGTACGTGTCTACTTAAGCACCTTTCTAGAATATAGATCTTTTTTAAAAAAGTCAACCAGGTTTTCCGGAAAAAAGTTATTGCGAATCACTGTGCGCTCAGACCTCGCCTCACGCGCTCGTACCTGCGTGTGAGAAATGTCCCTGTACGACCCTTTAGATTTTGAATTTCAAAATCAAACGTTGGGAATATATTATATATATATATATATATATATATATATATATATATATATATATTATTATTAATTAAAGAAAAAAATTGATTTTTTTGTCCATCTACTGTAATCTCCCCCCTTAAGAATGACGGGCGGGTAATTTTTAAATTTGGTCACGATCAATCTTCGATCATTCATTAATTCCTTTGAATTCTTACTTTTACTTGAGTTCTGTTAATACAACATACGTTAACAGTGGGGATATTCCCGCTGCCTGCGCTCAAATTATCAAGCTTCGTCGTGTAATTTTATTTTAATTGCTGGGTTGAGTGGGAGGTCGCGATTAGTGCTGGCGACATTGTAGGTTCTTCTGAAAATGTCGAAATAAAAAGAATAGGTGTACTAAAAAAGATTTTCGTAAATAAATATCACGGTAACGTTGTTGAAAGGAAGATCTATTTTTGCATTTCCCTCACCATAGACGCGCGCGTTTTCTTGTAATTACGGCTGCTTTTTGAACTGACAATTATCTCATGGTGCTTTTCTATTGGCAGCCACGAAGTTGCAACGATTGCGTATGTAGAACGCGAATCTGTGAAATGCAATGCGAAACGATAAAATTGACAAGCGGACAGATGGGAGTACGGAATTTTGCGTGACTCAATGTCGGGACGATTGAAAGTGGCGGGAATAGTTGGGATGAAAAACAGGTAAGACAGATCCAAAGTACATTTTCTTGATATACTTGCCACGTAAATTCGTTGCTCAATTTTCGACAGCATTGATAAGTAAGTTCTATTGTTTTTCGGTGCAATATTTTAACAACAAATTACATCAACAACATTTATCGTAGATATTAGTACTTACTTAAACTAGATTGCAATTCATGTATTGGGAGTGTGAATAAGTTCTCGCCGTTTCACCATCAAATGTCGGTATAAAAATTTTGTGTGTATAATTCAAGATGATGACGCATCTATATTGAAGTTCTATAACCTATGTTTAAAATCAGTGCGTGTCTTTCCATTAACCTATAAAGAACATTTTCTTTTCGTAGCGTAAAACATGTCAAATTTCGTGCCAAATAAACCGTTTTTGCGGGGAATTTTACTGCACTACTTTATTCAGAAGAAATCTGCAGCTGAAGCACACAGAATTCTTGTAGAAACCTATGGTGATCATGCTCTCGGAAAGAACATGCAGAGATTGTTTTAATCGATTTAAAAATGGTGATTTTGATGTTCAAGATAGAGAACGCAGTGGTGCACCAAAAAAGTTTCAAGACGAAGAATTGGAAACATTACTTGCTGAAGATCCATGTCAGACGCAATCCGATGTTGCAAAATCATTAGGAGTTGATCGAACAACAGTTTCGAAACGTCTGACAGCATTAGGAATGATACAAAAGGAAGGATCTTGGGTGCCATACGAACTGAAGTCGAGAGACGTCGAACGGCGTCTTGTCACGTGTAAACAGCTGCTTCAACAAAAAAGGATAGATTTCTTACATTGTATTGTGACTGGTGATGAAAAGTGGATATACTACAGTAATCCCAAGCGTAAAAAATCGTGGGTTAAGCCCGGCGAAGCAGTAGCATCAACGCCAAAGCGGAATATCCACGGTTCCAAGCTCATGCTTTGCATTTGGTGGGATCAGCTGGGGGTAGTGTATTACGAACTGCTTCAACCCAACCAAATCATCACAGGAGATCTCTATCGACGACAATTGATGCGTTTGAGCCGAACATTGAAAGAAAAACGACCGCAATATGAGCAAAGACACGATAAGGTGATTTTGCTGCATGATAACACTCGGCCGCATATCGCGTCACCAGTCAAAACATACCTGGAAACGCTGAAATAGGAAGTCCTACCCCACCCGCCGTACTCTCCAGACATTGCGCCTTCTGATTACTATTTATTTCGATCGATGACTAACGGCCTGGCTGAGCAGCACTTCACTTCGTACAAGAAACGAAAAAATGGATCGATTCGTGGATAGCCGCAAAAGAAGTGTCGTTTTTTCGACGTGGAATTTAAATGCTGCCAGAAATATGGAAAAAAGTAGTCTCCAGCGATGGGCTTTAATTGACTTGTTTTTTTATTATTTTTTTTAAATAAAGGATTTATTTTCACAAAAAACGGCGAAAACTTATTCACACTCCCAATATAAATTTACTGTCACTTCCAATTTGTAAAATTTATTTGTTTCTTTTTTAAAGAAGAGCCGTATTCAAAGGACATGTGTCGTTCACATTGTCACTGTGCTTGTCTCGTTCATAAGAGCACAAGGGCGATCGAGTACGATTGATTTAAAATCTGAAAGGCCACCAGAAAATTTGTCGAAATAGAAGAAAGGTATTTGGTATACATATAAAATAAACTCTTACCGACATGAATGAGGACAAAGACAGATTGAATTTACTGCTCGTTGAAAGATTGCATCCTAAATTATTGCTCAATATCATCAGCATGAATGTGCGTCTTACAGACGGTCCGAATAGATACCATTTCTCGTGGAACGCTTCGATCGTAATGTTCCTACTCTAAATGGAACATAAAAATACGATAAAAGGCATTATAATATGTGGCGGCTTGCGAACGCTCGTCACAAAATAGCGAAACGATTAGCGAGAGAATTTGGTGAGAGAGCTGTCGCGATTGCGGTTTACCGTGTCCCCACTGGACTCGGGGGGGGGGGGGGGAAAAAGGGGGGG